AACAGACTTCAAAGACAAAAGACAGTTACAATTTTTGTCAGCAGAGAGAGGCGTTATCCCATGAATCCTAGTGTGTGGCTGGAGGTCCAAAGTCTCAGTTTGAGAGCAGAATTAAAACATTAAAAAAAAAAAAACCTTTATCACGAAAAATATTGGTGGCGAAAGCCCTCCTACTATTACTACGTGTTAAAATAGCTTCTTTATCTCTTTGCCCTGTACAATAAAACTATTCTTAGGTTTTTTCGTTAAAGTCACGTAGGTAAAACATTAAAATTAATAAAAGTAAAATGAAATAAAAATCACGACGTTTCGGAGGCAACACAAGCTTCCATCTTCAGGTGGAACCGTCACAGCCACGACAGCTGTATCAAGTAAATGAGAGATTGCAGGAGCTACCACTCCGTATATATAACGGTTGGAGAGGGGGGGGAAGGAGAGGTACGGTTTGTGACTAAACCTGTGACAAGGAGAAAGCATCTAAACATGGTAAGCCTGTCATAGTTGTCTGTCAAATAAGATTGGCCAAATAAGTGTAGTTAAATATTTTTTGCATGGTTGATCACATCTTTCCAATGATTACTCAGTTTGTAACCATCATCACGGTTGAAATTATGTCTGTGTTTGTATATTTGTATGGCTTCGTGTACAAACATTTGATGGTAGCCAGGAGGATTGCAGAGAACCTTGGTCTCGGAAAAGACAATTTCATGAGAGCGCACCGAGTTGTAGCAATGATCGGCAACGGCCGAAGAATCAGTTCTGCCGTGTTTCAGATCTGACTTGTGCTCGCGGACACGATCAGAAACATGACGTTTCGTTTCTCCAATGTAGCAATCACCACAAATGCAACTCAATTTGCAGACTCCAGGATACTGTAAATCAGGAACGACATCCTTCACAGATGGAATCAGATCACGGATTTTATGCACTGTACTGAATCGGACTTGGATGTTATGCTTGTTTAGAATTTTGGAGATCTTTTTGGTCACGCCTGCTATGTATGGTAACGTGATAGTTTTGGTCGGAGTTTCAAGTGGCTGTTTCTGTATGGTGGGAGAAACAGCTTGGCGGATAGTGCGGTCAAAGTATCCGTTCATCCTGAGGGCCCGATGTACATGTCTTAATTCACCGGCCAGGTGGTGTTGGTCAGAAATGTCATGGGCTCTGTGGTATAGCGTTTTGATGAGAGAATTCTTTTGAGATGGTGGTGGTGGGAATCCGGTTTCAAGTAGGAATCTGTGTGGGTGGCTTTCCTGTAGACAGAATGTCCCAAGGATCCGTCAGGCCTCCTCTCAAACAGAATATCCAAGAATGGTAGTTTACCGTCTTTCTCCACTTCCATGGTGAATCTGATGGATGGGTGTCTAGAATTGATGTGGTCCAAGAAGTGGTTCAATGCTGGGAGGCCATGTGGCCAGATGACGAAAGTGTCATCCACATACCTCTTCCACAGGGAAGGACGCAGGGTGGATGTCTGGATGGCGTCTGATTCAAACTTTTCCATGAATATGTTGGCTATAACTGGTGACAAGGGGGAGCCCATAGGGGTACCCTCATTTTGTTTGTAGAAGGTGCCATTCCAGGTAAAATAGGTGTTGGTGAGGCAATGCCTAACCAGCGCAGGTACATCAGAATTCAATCCATGTTGGACTAAGTCCTCAATTATTGTTAGGGTGTCCGGTACTGGGACTTTGGTGAAGAAAGATAATACATCAAAGCTGACGAGGATGGCATCAGGAGATAGTGCCATGTCCTTAACCATAGAGACTAATTGGGTTGAGTTAAGTACTGCCGAAGAGGTCTTGCCTGTGAAGGGGAGCAGAGTATCTGATAGAAAACAGGCTAGTTTGTACGTAGGAGAGTTTATCGTCGACACGATGGGTCGTAGCGGGGTGCCATCTTTATGGATTTTGGGAAGACCATAGAGTCTGGGAGGTCTAGCCGCCGATGGTTTTAGAGAGGGACGTTTGCTTGGTTCGATTAGGGAAGTCGAACTCGTGATGATACTGTTGGTTTTTGTCGTTAGGCTTTTAGTGGGATCGTTTTTAATTTTGGAGTAACTCCCATCATTAAGAAGGTCCAGGATTTTGTTGTTGTATGAATCTTTGTGATGATTGCTACATTGGAGAAACGAAACGTCATGTTTCTAATCGTGTCCGCGAGCACAAGTCAGATCTGAAACACGGCAGAACTGATTCTTCGGCCGTTGCCGATCATTGCTACAACTCGGTGCGCTCTCATGAAATTGTCTTTTCCGAGACCAAGGTTCTCTGCAATCCTCCTGGCTACCATCAAAGGTTTGTACACGAAGCCATACAAATATACAAACACAGACATAATTTCAACCGTGATGATGGTTACAAACTGAGTAATCATTGGAAAGATGTGATCAACCATGCAAAAAGGATTTAACTACACTTATTTGGCCAATCTTATTTGACAGACAACTATTACAGGCTTACCATGTTTAGTTGCTTTCTCCTTGTCACAGGTTGAGTCACAAACCGTACCTCTCCATAACAAAGGCTCAGCCTTTGTTATGCAGTCTATTCTGAGTCTTAAGCCTCACCTTACCATATGAGTAATAAGTATAACCCGTAAAAACTAAGTTTTTCACTATAAATCCTTTATATGCGTGGCAGCGAACTTAATATAAAGGATTTAAAAATATATTCACCTGTGGAGGACGCGGGGATCGATCCCGTGACCTTTGGCATGGGAAGCGAGGACGCTACCAAATGCGCTACTCCGCCACGGCCTGTGGAGGGGTTACGCTCTGGGCTCTTATACTGTGACGTTCAGCCAAAGCCATGAATGAGTTCTATTTGAATATATGTAAAATAAAAAAATTTTGCCTAAAAAGTGTAAAATTTTGGGAATTTTTTTTCATGAACATTAATTGTCTGGCACAACGAGTCTGTGTGGAAAATGTTAGCTCGATTGGATCACGGGAAGTGGGTTAAAAAACGACCGAAAGATTTGCACGGTCGTAAGCAAGCAAGCACGCAAGCAAGCAAGCAAGCATGCGAACTTAATATAAAGGATTTAAAAAGCGTCTTAAGCCTCACCTTACCATATGAATAAAAAAGCGTGCTGCACTTGGCCCTTCCCCCCCCCCCCCTCTCCAACCATTATATATACGGAGTGGTAGCTCCTGCAATCTTTCATTTACTTGATTCAGCTGTCGTGGCTGTGACGGTTCCACTGAAGATGGAAGCTTGTGTTGCCCCCGAAACGTCGTGATTTTAATTTTATTTTACTTTTATTAATTTTAATGTTTTACCTACGTGACTTTACCGAAAAAACCGAAGAATATGAATCCTTGCAGTCACGACAACTTCAAGTCTAAAAAACAATAACACTACTTTGGTGGATGGAGGAGTCCCTCGACCCCAGGTTATAACAAAAATTCTTTAGCCGAGTGACGCTCGTCACACACCATAAGTAGTTCCCCCATAGTGAGGCCATCCGATTCAACCAAGGGTTTAACGCCCAATGAGTGAGTGATCGCGAGGGAACGGCACGTGTCACTCCGCAGTGTCACGTGACGCATGTTCCCAGCACGCCCGCAGTGGATCTCCGCCTTCTCGGCGTTGAGCGTCACGCGGTGCGAGGAACGATGGGGTCAGAGAACCTTGGCTCCCCCCGCCCTCCCCCACCAGTGTGCTAACCACTGCACCACCGCTCCACCCCATACTGCACACACTACTCTCTATACACAAAAGACAAAGATCCTCCGTGTAGCCTTAACAGACTATTGGGGCAAGTGCTGCTAGTGAATAGCACCTATGAAGGCCAGCCTGGCAGAGACCCGCCTTTGTATCCCCTGGGGCGATATTTACTGATCGCACTAGATACTCATTTGAGGCTGATTCGACCTAGGGGAGACCCAAGACCGATTCAGATAATAGGTATCTATGGTGTTGGTAAACTGGTCATGGGCCTCCCCTAGGTCGTCTCAGCCTCAAATAAGTACCTGGTGCGATGTGTAAACATCACCATTTGGGAGACAAAGGCGGCCAGGCGTGGTGGTGGCCACCCACACCTTCGTGTGAAGTGCCGGCGTTTATTGGTGCTCACTAACAGCACTTGCCCCTACAGTCTGTTAAGGCTATACGGGGGATCTTTGTTTTGTTTGTTTGTTTGTGAGTGTATGTATGTATGTATGTGTATGTACATGTGTCTATCTGTTTGTGTGTCTGTGTGTTTGTATGTGTGTGAGTGTGTGTGTTTATCTGTGTGTGTTTGTGTAGTCTTAACAGACTGTTGGGAAAAGGGCTGTTAGTAGCAAGTAGCAGAGCCTGTGAAGGCTGGCACTCTCGCACATGAGGGGGTAGGTGGCTAGCACCAAAAAAAATACACACAAAGACACACACACACACAAAGACACAATAACAAAAAAACACACGGACAAAGGCATATAGACCAACCCACTAACCCAAAAAAAAATTTCACCCAAGAAGCCTTGCAAAATTGTTGGGGCAAGTGCTGTTTGCTCATAGCACCTATGAAGTCCGACACTGTGGCACACGAGGGGGTTGGTGTCCAGCACCACGCCCGACCCGCCTTTGTCTCCTCAGTGGCAATGTTTGCACATCGCAAGCAGGTACTCATTTGAGGCTGAGTCGACCTAGGGGAGAGCCTGGACCGATTCCGATAATCGTCACTGATGTTGATGAACAGGTCATGGGCCTCCCCAAAATTGCAGCATATGCGATGTTCTAATCGCATTGTTTCAAATTGCGATTTCGATTTGAAATCGATTAATCATTCCGCACTACTGTGACTGTAGTGCCCGTGGGAGGCAGTGGATCGCAGTAGCAGCAGCATGAGCGTCGATATCAACACCCCCATAGCGACTCTTGTGTGTACAACAAACACAAACATCTCCCGTGTGTCACCTTTTACAGTCTGTTATGGCTGCATGGGGGATCTGTGTCTTTGTGTGCGCGAGTCTGTGCGTTGTGCCCGTTTCTCTGCGCTGCTCACACTCCGTGCTCTCAGGACGCACGACTCAGATCCAGAATCTTCATGGAGTCACCATCATCACCATACACATACAGTCCAGGGTAGAGAGGTTGACTAAACGAGTGGTGAATGGAGTGCAGCAGCTCCATGGAGTCGGCGCAGTAAAACGACAGCAGCCCCGCCTCCCAGTTCAGGTGACACCCGACTCTCCGGGGAGGATCCCTCACCGGCACTGAAGTCTCCACACCACTATGCCACACATAGCAGCTGTTGTTAATTTTACATAAAACCCAGGATGAGTCGTTTTGTCCCAGGCTGCACTCGTCACCACTCCCTTCCCGTGCGATCGTCTTGTACGCGACTCCAACGTCCCAGTCCCCCGCCGCACCCCCCACGTCCACCTCCCAGTAGTGCTGACCCGACGAGAAGCTCTCGGAGCACAGGGCTTGTGTATAGTCATCAAAGCGGTGTGGGTGATCGGGGCGACCCTGGGAGACAGCGGTCAGCGTCACGTTCCTGAGATCCGAGGAAATCTGGAGGTTGTTGTGGGCCGAGTTTGGGTCCAGATTCGGTGAGCGTCCATCTGCAGTAAAGATAATCACAGTAGCCGTGTAACAACAGCACAACTATAACAATAGCACTCGTGCACTAACACGCACGTATATTACAATAGAGAAATTCATAATGAGCATTGTTATATAACGTTGTAATGCGTAACTATCGGTGTGATAAGATGTAATGGGCACTTTGTCAATCCACTGCTGGATGAGGGCTTCCCTACACCGTGTGGGTCGTGGGGGATATTTTACCATACTTCGCCATGCCGGTCAACGCATGTTGGCGAAGACAGGTGGCACAGCTGGCGAGAGGACAGAAGTACAGTACAGTGGTGCGTTTGTCTCCACTGCCGTCTGCTGCCCACTACATAGCCCCACAGCCTATAGCACCTGCTACGCACGGTGGTGGCCGCAAGTGTGATCCCTACCCAGGCCCACCTCCTGCTGGGCTTTGCGAGATGCGAGGAGGTGGGGCGCACTGCGGGCGCTCTGTGCGGTAGCGCCCGTGGGTGGCAGTGGATCGCAGCAGCAGCAGCGTGGATATCAACACCGCGTAGCGTCTGTGTGTGTAAACAAATACAAAGATCTCCCGTATAACCTTTCACAGACTGTAGGAGCAAGTGCTTTTAGTGTGCACACGAGGGGGGGAGTTGCCAGCACCACGTCAGGCCGCCTTTGTCTCACCAGTGGTGATGTTTACACACCACACCAGGTACTCATTCGAGGGTGAGTCGACCTACGGGAGGTCCAGGACCAGTTCAGATAACCCATCACTGGTGTTGGCCTTGAGCGGGATTCACATTCGGGACGCCAGGTTCGTAGCAAAGCTCACTAAGCACTACACTACCGCTCTGCAACATACATGTACAAGCACAATTACACACACAATAACAGATGCACACGTAGCAAGAGTCCGTGGAACTCACACATGAATGCCAGAAGGTTGACCACAGCTCCCTGCAGGGCGCTGATTGAGGCGATATCTTCTTCACTGGGAGATGAGGGTGGCGATCCCTTCTGAGCGTCTCTCCTGTGAGACCAGAACCAGCAGTGACTCACACAGCCCGTGTTTTACACAGCACCAACATAAACAGCAGCATCACATACATCATCATCACACACAGCAACATCACACAACCCGTGTCTTACACAGCATCATCTTGTAATGCGAGCGTAAATGGGGTTTGCTGCTGGGCTCTGGCCCAATCACACGGCCCAGGGTATTGGGGGGCAGAGCCCGGTATGAGGGGCGTGTGGGAGGGGCCGCCGTTCACCTCAGCTCCAATGGGAAGCGAGTAGAATGGGGGTGGAGCCAGCAGGGCAGTATGGGAAGGCTGGATCTGACGATCCGGAAGGGGAGGAGTCATGGTCACGTGGTAAAGAGGATATAAGTGGGAGCCCGGAAGAGATCGGGGGAGTTGCCGAAGTTAAGAGGCTGAGCCACGTTGGGTGGTGAGAGGAGATCCGTGCCATCGGCCACGTGGACGAAGGACCTTTAGCACGCCGTCGGCCAGCGGTGTGCGGAGTGCGGGAGTGGAGGAGCTAACGGAGGAGCGTGCGTGGGCGCGCGCGAGGAGACACTGGTCCCTTGTCAGGACCAGCGGGATGTGAGGAAGAGTAAAGGAGCTGCCAAGGGGGCGCGTGCGGGGCAGCGCGCGAGACGACGCTGGTCCACGGACAGGACCGCAGGGTGCGGAGAAAGAATCCAATAAAAGACTAACAGAGACCAGCAGTGCCTGACGGAGTCTTTTATTACACTGAGGTCAGAAGTGCTTCGAGATGTCAAAACATCTCAAGAAAAATAATATACCTACGCCATCTTCAGAAGACGAAGAGGACCTTCCTCCAGTGGTAGCGGTTCTGACCATGGAGGGCACGGGCGAAGCGGCGGCAAGCGACACGACAGGGGTACAAGATGTCGTAGCGGTGGTCGGGCCGTCTGCGTCAACGGGCGCCGAGGACGGCTGGCAGCACGTGGCTGAACAGCTTGAATCGCTGCGGGCCGTTCTGCGAGATTTGGTCACCCTGGTCGCGCCAGCGACAATGCCAGGACAGCCACGCGTCGGGCCTCCACGCGGGGAACCTTCGGGTGGGGCCAAGCCATCCGCCATTGGGGCCTCTACGAGGCTTCCCGCCCTTCCCGACACGCGGCAGGACGCCGCCATCTTGGGTGTGGTTACGACTGAACGGCGGGAAGCTGTAATCTTGTCACCGCCACGTGGGGCGCCTGCTTCGGATGACAGCAACTCGGGGACTCGCAGCCACCGCCTGACGACGATTAAAGAATTCACAGTTGGAGGAGATTGGAGCGCATTCGCTTGGCGTTTTGAGTCGGCTGTCCGATCCGCCAAGTGGACGGATGCGGAGGCCTTGGAGGTTTTGCCGATGCTCCTGGACGACAAGTCTTTGAAATTCTTCCGCTCCATCGCGGCCGCGAAGAAGGCGATGCTGAAATGGGCATTCGACGAGATGGTGGAAGCGTACGAGCCTCCGGACGACGCACATAGCAGATTTGTCCAGAAGCAACGGGCGCCGAAGGAATCACCTGTGGCCTTCCGGGGTGCTGTGATTGCGCTGGCCATGGCCGCGTATCCCGAGACCGAGCCCGACTTGTTGGAGCTCTTGATACTGGGTAAGATGTTGGAGCTGTCCAAGGACCTGGGCATTCCACTGCCTGTGTGCGGCCACGAGCAGCTGACCTCCTGGATGGCTGCCAAGTGCCTCGATGCGCAGTTCAACTTGTGCCGTTAGGCGCAGATGACTGCCTGGACGGGGAGCCCGACCGTGGAGGGTGACACCGTCGGGTGGACACCGTCGAAGGCCGTCTTCGTCCCGGACGAGAGGGGGCCTGGTGATCTCACTGCGGCAGTGGCCCAGTGGGTTCCTCGAGGGGGAGCGGTGTCGCGCTCCGGGCCACCGCCGATGAATCGCCGGAATGCCGGGGGAGCCGGGCGGCGGGCCAACTTAGTGTGTTACCGCTGCGGACGTCTTGGATATTTTGTGCGTGATTGCCGAAGTCGCCCTCGTCCGCCTCTTCGCCCAGGGTCCCCGACCAGGGATGCGCCATCAACGCCAGAGACTCAACCGTGTCAGACGGCCCGGCGGTGATCCTGCCGGACATATGGATTCCTGCACCGGGTGGGCCTACCAGGGCGACGGGGACACTTGGCCCTGCTGCCCCTCCAACCCCGCCGCGGTTGCAGTTGGAGGCGGGCCCCGATTACGAACCTCTCTGGGGAACGGGGTGCTGGGACGGACAGGCCTCCACCAGCTGCGGATGGTTCCGGTTCCGCCGCTCCTAAAACCCTGTCGGGACTGCGACCTTCAAGGGTACCACCTCTCATGAAGGACGGGCCGGCGACCCGCACTTGTTCCAAATCCCTTCCCGTTCGTTAATTGTGTTGTCGTTGTACTCTCCGTTGTGTCTGGTGTGATTCCTGATTGTGATGCCGTCGCTCGCATTATTTTATCCTATTGCAGCCGGGACGGCTGGCTTTTTCATCAGGGGGGGGGGTCATGTAATGCGAACGTAAATGGGGTTTGCTGCTGGGCTCTGGCCCAATCACACGGCCTGAGGTATTGGGGGACGGAGCCCGGTATGGGGGGCATGTGGGAGGGGCCGCCGTTCACCTCGGCTCCAATGGGAAGCGAGTAGAATGGGGGTGGAGCCAGCAGAGCAGTATGGGAAGGCCGGATCTGACGATCCAGAAGGGGAGGAGTCAGGGTCACGTGGGGGAGAGGATATAAGTGGGAGCCCGGAAGAGATCGGGGGAGTTGTGGGAGTTAAGAGGCTGAGCCACGTTGGGTGGTGAGAGGAGATCCGCGCCATCGGCCACGTGGACGAAGGACCTCAGCACGCCGTCGGCCAGCGGTGTGCGGAGTGCGGGAGTGGAGGAGCTAACGGAGGAGCGTGCGCGGGCGCGCGCAAAAAGACGCTGGTCCCTTGTCAGGACCAGCGGGATGTGAGGAAGAGTAAAGGAGCTGCCAAGGGAGCACGTGCGGGGCAGCGCGCGAGACGACGCTGGTCCACGGACAGGACCGCAGGGTGCGGAGAAAGAACCCAATAAAAGACTAACGGAGACCAGCAGTGCCTGACGGATTCTTTTATTACAATCTTATGAAACACAAGAATAAGTTTTGCCCTTTCTGGCAATAAACTAGGTGCTCTGATATTCAAATACCAAATAGATATCTTTCGTAAGAAATCAGATCTGCATTAACCACACCTACTTGTGGTGAACATGCAAACAAACATGATCTGATAATTATATATGATGCAATGTCTTTGAAACTGAACAGAGACAGAGACAGCCTTCTTTATGTCCTAGTCTCACCAGTGTCAGACCAGAGAACGCCAAAAGGCGAACAGTGAACATGTTTGTTTGCAGGTTCATCACAAGTACCTGTGGTGAATGTAGACTTGATTCCTTGTCAAAGGTATCTATTGCTGTTTAAACATCTTAACACCTGTTTTATTGCCAGAAAGGGTAAAACCTATTCTTATTTTTCATACTATGATATTGGCAAAAAGGTCCCATAATACAGTATCATCTCATGCAACATCATACCACACATTATCATCATCATGCACAACATCATCACACAGCATCAACATATACCATCACTCAGAGGATCATACCACACATCATCATCATCACGCAACCAATGTCCCACACACTGCGTCACCCCGTGTGTTAATCTGTGTGACTTCATGAGTTCATACCGGTTTGTCTCCTTCAGGTGAACCTGCAGGAGTCAGACAAAGGGGGTGCGAGTCAGTTCACCTCCAGCCACGTCAACCACATGGTGATTGGTAGACGCGATGAGCTGGGCTGCGAACAGCCATTCGCAAATCCCAGTATTGTTGGTTGTCAACAAGACAAAGCCGCGGAATCGTTCGGACTCGATGGTTCTCATCAGCAAGGTGTGGCCTCTCAAACCATTGCCACTCGGTACCTGATGTCATTGGCAAGAGGAGTCCATGGCACTCAATATCGCAGTGATTGTGAACCAACATTCAAAATAAGTACGCACTGTGAGGGTGAATTACACCCAGAGCGTCGCGTTAGCAGAGTCGATCGTTTAACACGGTGAACATTTGTTGAAACAGGCAATCTCCGCATTGGACTCGTCAGAAGTCAGTGCTGAAAAAAATCCCCCTGGAATTACTGAAATTAAAAGCACTCCTATTTTCAGCATAACCTTTGGTTATATGAATAATTAAAATGTAGTGTCAAGTAGCCTAAGTCTGTTGTATATTATAGGACTATACCGTTACAGTTTTAAATGACAACGTCTGCATACATTACCAACCAAATAACTCGAGGGTTAGTCGTTCATTTATTAATTGGAATTTCAGTAGTAATTTATATTTGTATCAGGATATACAAATCCACGTTGGTGGACTTCATTCTCAATTTAATTTCAGAATGCATGGGCTATACATTGTATTGACAATGCAAGATGTGTTATCCTGTGCATTGAGTTGCATCGCATGTGCAGCGTTTAAAAAAAAATCAGCGAATATACACGAACTGGGATCCTTGCCCTGGCTCCATGAGCTCTCTACCTGCAGGAACGTGAGCAAGTCCCTCTCCTCTTGTAGAGCGCGCAGGCGCGTGGCTGCTGCCTGGAGGTCGCTGATCTCGCGCTCGTAATGAGCGATGTTCTCCTCGATCTGGGACAGCAGCTCACGTCCCTTCATGTCCACGTGGTTCAGAGCTGCCCTCTCGTCCTCATCCAGCGTCGCCCTCATGTGGGTGAACTCGTCTGAGATGCGAGCCTTGGTCTGGGCCATGGAATCCTGCAAGGAGCGTGCGATAGATTTTATCAACTCATATACCATTCTGTAAAGACCAAAGTCACTTTTTTTTCTGGATACTCAAACCTAGTTTTCCCTGCCTCAACATTGTCGTTGGACTCTCATTGAACAGGTCAATAACTTAAAGTATCTAGGTGTTATCTTGTCCTCCACATTGATCATATGACCAGTAATTATATAGTCCAAACCACCATCCTCCCCATTTTTGACTCCTGTAAAATCATCGACCGCCTAGCCTCTTGTTCCATTATACCACCTGGCCGCCCACTTTGACCTTGATGCCTCCGTATCAATGCATGATTGCAACATCTGTATCACCTCTAACTTGTCCCCCCTGGATACCTTCATCCTTAAGGTCCTTTTGAACAAAACTGCCAAATATGTGTAAAAACAGTACAGGGGACTAGCGGTCACAGGGGGTAATGAAAGGGGAATTAGCAAAGGAAGAGACTTTGGGGCCACAAAGGGTAATGACAGGTTAATTGACATAGTGGGCACAGGGGGTAATGACAGGGGATTTAGCATGGCAAGAGACTAAGGGCCACAGCCGGTAATGGCGGGTTAATGGACAGACAGGGAAACGATTGGAGGTCTACGAGAAGGATCTAGAATAGGGGCTGTGGCCAAGTGATAGAAGGGAGCAGGTGTGGATCAGGGGCTGAGAACCATAGAGAAGGTTTTAGAGAAGGGGCATGGCCAAGGGTCAAGGGATGGCCACGCTGGGGATAAAAGGGGTCGAGAGGAGAGGCTCGAGGCTGCTGTTGGAGTCAGGGTCTTTGCCTTTCACGTGAACGTGTCGTCAATAAATATCATCACAAAAGCAATGTCTCCTGGAGTCGTTACATATGTAAGGACCTTAAAACCCCGCAAATTCTCAGTCACAAATTTAAAATTATTTCGCTATTCATAAAAAAATATCCATCATTAAAACTCCCATGCTGCTGCTACTAGCTCACGTTATTGGAATGTACTTGCCTCTCACCCTAGGCTGGGCTTCCTCCCCACCCTCCAAACGATTAGAGAGCTGCATGATGAGTGAGATATGAACCAGTTCTGGATTTTACCTTCAGCAATTCGCACTGATCCACACCACTAAGTATGGCCAACTAGCCTCAATGATCAACACGATGTGGGGAAGCCTTCATCCAGAAGTGTATTAGTGAGGATCTGTAAATTAATTACAAAATAGAGAAGCACACAAGTCGCCTTCCTCATAGACCTGTCTCTCCACATCAACAATACACGTATTTTGTACACAATCTATAGGCCCGACGGCCTTTTGGAATTGTATAATTCTAGCATAACTGTATTCATTCAGTGCAAACAAACTACGGACCGATTTTGGCATGCAGTGTCTCAACAGCAGAGTCAGGCTCGCTTGAATCAATGCAGGTGAACTGCTAGATGTTATAGACAAGAACCCTTTATGATATGAATCTTAGTCAGACGAATAATTTTTTGATGCATAAACAATTCCAGCGTTTCTTCTACAGAATCAATGCTGCTAAAATGATGCACTCCCATAAGACTGTGGAGCCGATGGGATGTTCATTAATTTATGTATTAGGTGAAGAGACAGATGTTTAACGATATTATGTCTGTTTATTGTATTTTATAGTTATATTCTCAACAACGAGTCTAATGACTATGTTTTGTGTTGTGTATTATATCATTTGGCATCTAACTAGGACCCATATAATTACAAAAGGGTCCTTGCGTATAAACATATGGCAGTACATCAGCCTTACCTCAAGCAAGCCTGACTCTGATACCGAGATACTGGGTGTGGAAATTAGTCGAGAGTTTGCTTTTTACCGAATCAATACTTTTGAAACGATGTACTCCGACGTCGTGGGCTGATAGGATGTGTACATTTATTCTCATGATTTTCATAGAGGCAGATAAATGATGGAGAGGTTTTATCTATATATATATGTTTTTGTTACTAATATTCTCCACGTTTTTTTGTAAATTATGAATATCACCAGCTGATCTGATGCCCTGCATTACAATGGATACTTCTGCATGCAAAAACACAAACAGACTCATAGCAATATCGTTTAAGATATATAAAAAGTAGACAATTACGTAATAATCCGTAACAATAAAATGTAGGTACTAATATGTATTACTTTTAACATCACTATTCGTGCAAATTCAACTTAAAATGTTTGAAACAGTCATAGACTCTTTGTTATGTCTGCTTGAGAGTTGGGTGCGTGTCATGAGAGCACCATTTTTCCAGCATTTCCTACACGCTCTTGATGCCCCATCTCTGGCATTCAACAGTCGATTTCCTGCCATTTCATTTTCACTCGTGTAATTTCTAGTTTTTAATTAAATCCAGTCGTTGCTCCATACGGCATTATTTTATCTCACGCATTGCAAGCTATTGGAGTTAATCTGCGAAGTGCTGTGCAGTCTCACGAGATATGAACTTTTTTACAAAAACGTTGCATTTTTTTCTAATTTATATTTAAAGCACCCATAGCCATGAAAATGCAATATCCTGCACAGTTATTACAAACTAACTCAAGACTAACAAAGTTTCCTTGATCTACGGAGTTGTCCTCACAGGGAGAGAGTCACAGACTCCACGCAGGGTGGAGGTCACAGGGTTACAAAGCCCACGTGTGGTACCTGCACGGCCTTGCGAGCGGCCTCCATCCGTCCCACGGACGCCTCGGCCTTCTTCCTCTTCTCTTCCACCGCTCGCGTCTCTTCTCCGACTCCATTCTGTAAGAGACGAAGTCACCAGAGGAGACTCAACTTCCTATGCCGGTTCTCTCTCAGCCCCACTCCATACGGAGCCCTCCACAGTGATCGTTCTATAACTGCCCACCAGAAAAGAGTCCAAGGAAGTCAGCTTGAAAGAAAAAAGAGCGTGGAGAGAGAATCATTCCGTCCTGATGGTTTGATTTAATGAAATGGGCTCAGGTCATGGTATTGTTCGCTCCAGAGTTGCTCCAACTCAACCCACGCGGGCCTCACCTTCCGTGTCTGATGCTCATCCTCCAGTGTGATGAACTTATGACCCGTGTGGTCTCCTTCGATGGTGCAGTCCCTGCACACGAGGCTGAGGTCTTGCTTGCAGTAGAACTTGAGCTCTTCTTTGTGCCTCTTGCACTTGCGTTCTTCAGGGTTCACATCTGGCGAAACCAGGACGTGGTCCTTCAACTTCACTCTCTCCAGGTGAGGCACGAGGTGATCCGTGCAGAAGGCCATCTCACACTTGAGGCAGGTCTTCACTGCAGGCGTCTTGCCTTCTGGGCAGTGGTCACAGAAAACAACAGCAGCCATGGTCTGCAGCAGCTGCTTTATGAGGTTGGTGATCGTCTCGTTTATGGTCAGCTGGGGTCGTCGAGGGAAGGCCTTGCGGCACTGCGGGCAACAGTAGAAGTATGTCTCCTTCCAGGCGTCGAGTGGCCGCAGCTCAGCGTGGAGGGGCAGTCAAACGTATCCAGGCAGATGGAGCAGCTCAACTCACGGTCCACGTTCTCAGAGGGAGCTGCGCTCGCCATTACCCGAGGCTGCACCCAAAGTTAGTCACTCCCTGTCGCTCGGAAAATATATATTTTAACAAAAATAGGTTAATGTTAATAATCTCTTGAGATGTTGAAAATCATTGACGAGGTGTGTTCTGTGCGCAGCTCACATGGCGGAGGCGAGCAGGGAAATGAACTTGACTTCACCTGCAGTTAAGTTTTAAATACCTTGAGACGCACCCTGGAATGTTCCACACGGCTGCCAGGCTCACCTGTGTAGACTTCGCGTTCCAGTCACGCACTGTGTTAGCTAAAACTGCTTTTTGTGTTTAGATTGTTGTTCTTCCGCTGCACTTCCGACACAGACAAGAAACAAGGATGTAAATTACTTTACACGGGGTTACAAACCTCACGAGGCACCCTATGGAATGTGCTCAGACGTTTAAAGAATGTAAAAACAAGCCCTACATCACACAAACCTGTATAGATGTACCTGTAGATTCGCGTCGTTGGCCTTAACCAGTGCCAACAATGGACTTTGTAAGAACATGATCACTATCGTGAAAATAACACATCCTGAGATCCGAGGAAATCTGGAGGTTGTTGTAGGCCGAGTTTGGGTCCAGAGTCGGCGAGCGTCCGTCTGCAGTAAAGATAATCACAGTAGCCGTGTAACAACAGCACAACTATAACAATAGCACTCGTGCACTAACACGCACGTACATTACAATAGAGAAATTCATAATAAGTATTATTGTACAACGTTGTAATGTATAGTTCTCGGAGTGATGACATGTAACGGGCACTTTGTCAATTCACTGCTGGATGAGGGCCTCCCTACACTGTGCGGGTCGTGGGAAATATTTGACCATACTTCACCACGCTGGTCACTGCACGTTGGTGAAGGCAGGCGGCATAGCTGACGTGAGCACAGAAGTACAGTACAGCGATGCATTTGTCTGCCCTGCCATCTGCTGCCCGCCACTAACCCCGCAGCCTATAGCACCTGCTACGCACGGTGGTGGCCACCCATGCGAGCCCTACCCAGGCCCAACCTCTGCGAGATGCGAGGAGGTGGGGCGCTCTGTGCGGTAGTGCCCGTGGGTGGCAGTGGATCGCAGCAGCAGCGTGGATATCAAAACTGCCGTAGCGTCTCTGTGTGTGTACAACAAATACAAAGATCTCCCACGTAACCTTTAACAGACTGTAGGAGCAAGTGCTTTTAGTGAGCACCTGTGAAGGGCGGCACGGCACACGAGGGGGTGGGGTTGGCCAACACCACGCCCGGCCGCCTTTGTCTCCCCTGTGGGGAGGTTTGCACACTTCACCAGCTACTCATTCGAGGCAGAGTTAACCCAGAGGAGGCCCATGACCGGTTGAGATAACACTATGCAATACAATTTTTTGTTCCTGGGTAGTAAGTGTAAAAGAAGTTAGTGTTCATCTTGCGCATTTCTAATTTGCCCCCCAGGCAGCATAACAAAAGGATGCTTAATCTGAGCTTTCTTATCTACTTCCGCCCCATGCATCACAAAGCTTCAGTTTGAGCTCCATGCGTTGCCTCCCAACGCCCTCCCCGTTCTTCATATCGTGGTTTCCCAGTCCACAACCCGCCAACACACTCACCATGGCCCCTCCCCTCCCTCCATCCCCCACGACTATATAATTCCTCGTCACAGCCATCTCTTAGACACACTTAAGCGGTTGTGCTTTCGCTACGTTGTCCCCACCTGAAGAAAGACGCTTGTGTTGCGCCCAAAACGTCGTGATTTAATTTAGTTGTTTTCATTTATTTTATTTTTTGCCTACGTGACATTACCGAAAAAAAAAAACAAAGAGTACTCGTGTGTGTGATAGTTTAGTGATGTACACTCGTTTGTGTGTGTGTGATAGTGTAGTGATGTACACTCGTGTGTGTGTGATAGTGTAGTGATGTACACTCGTGTGTGTGTGTGATAGTGTAGTGATGTACATTCTTGTCTGTGGTAGTATAGGGATGTACACTCGTGTGTGTGTGTGATAGTGGAGTGATGTACACTCGTCTGTGTGTGTGATAGTGGAGTGATGTACACTCGTCTGTGTGTGTGATAGTGTAGTGATGTACACTCGTGTGTGTGTGTGTGTTAGTGTCGTGATGTACACTCGTGTGTGTGTGTGATAGTGTAGTGATGTACACTCGTGTGTGTGTGATAGTGTAGTGATGTACATTCGTGTGTGTGTGTGTGATAGTGTAGTGATGTACACTCGTGTGTGTGTGTGTGTGATAGTGTAGTGATGTCCACTCGTCTGTGTGTGTGATAGCGTAGTGATGTACACTCGTGTGTGTGTGTGTTAGTGTCGTGATGTACACTCGTGTGTGTGTGTGTGTGTGATAGTGTAGTGATGTACACTCGTGTGTGTGTGATAGTGTAGTGATGTACATTCGTGTGTGTGTGTGTTAGTGTCGTGATGTACACTCGTCTGTGTGTGTGATAGTGGAGTGATGTACACTCGTCTGTGTGTGTGATAGTGTAGTGATGTACATTCGTGTGTGTGTGTGTGATAGTGTAGTGATGTACACTCGTGTGTGTGTGTGATAGTGTAGTGATGTACACTCGTGTGTGTGTGATAGTGTAGTGATGTACACTCGTGTGTGTGTGTGTGATAGTGTAGTGATGTACACTCGTGTGTGTGTGATAGTGTAGTGATGTACACTCGTGTGTGTGTGTGTGATGGTGTAGTGATGTACACTTGTGTGTGTGTGTGATAGTGTAGTGATGTACACTCGTATGTGTGATAGTGTAGTGATGTACACTCGTGTGTGTGTGTGTGTGATAGTGTAGTGATGGATAATTACCAACACGCTCTTCCGGCATCGGCGCATCCACACAACATCATGAATGTGTAGTGCCATAAGAGGGGAGGGGCTGCTGGGGGCTCTGGGATCCTAGGCAGATAAGCCCTCGGCGCCAGGCGCTAGGATCCCAGGCACCCCAGACAGTTAAGCCCCTTGGCGCCACCAACGGGGGGGCTGTGCGTGCTCTGTGGGATATCTGGGGGCGCACACAACCCCACCCCTCGTTGGGGACGAGGCATAAAAGGGCAGCTCCCTGGCCGATCGGGGCCAGTCGCAGCTCAAGACCCAAGACCCGCCAGCCAGCCAGCTTAGGACCCTGGACCCCCTCGTCCCGCTTGTCCTTGTAAGGGCCGAGACGCTGTGAGGGCCAGTGGTGGGACTCTGGGACTCCCGGCTCTACGTCCTTGTAAGGGCGAGTTCCGAGGAAGCCAGAGTCAAGACCAGCACCTTAGCTGGGTCGGGTCAGGTAGCCTCCCCTAGGGAAATTGTAGCCGGAGGACCCCAGAGCGTAGCCAAAGTAGTGTATCTAGGTTGTGCACCTAGGCTGTGTACCTAGGCTGTAACAGAGTATCAGGACTGTTGGAGTGTTGTATTGTAATAAAGAAGTTACCTCTACAAGTGTCTCCGGAACCCATTACAGATGCATGCCGGGTCCAAGCAAGAACATTTGCTGGACTACATAGTAATGAACCAACGGATGCGAGCCCATGTCCTTGACACCAGGACCTACCGTGGAGCTGATCTGCCCTCTGACCATCGACTAGTCATCTGTAAGATGCGCCTGCCATTCTTCCACGGTCATTGAACCGTGCAAATCCAGCAGGCTGCCTTTGTTTCTGCTTTGCTGCTGTTTGCGAGACGTACTAGGTACTCATTGAGGCGGAATCGACCTAGGAGAGGTCCAGAATTGGTTCTGAACTGATGCAAGCCATGGCTTTGAATAGCCTGTAGGTGACCATGTTTGTATCTCAGTGTACAAACCATCCAATCTTCACTGAACATCCGTATTCGCTCTTGCTCATCCATATGTAGTGTGGTGAAGTACGTGGCACACACTGTTGGTGAAGGACAACCGAGGGCAAACACGTGCGCGTGTGCAAGATGAGGTTGCACGAGCAAACCGCCACCTAATTTGGGACAGAAGCTGGTGCAGACCAGGTCGGCCCGGGGTTGCACGATGACAATGGAGGTGTTGCCAGGGGGACGTGCGATAAGGTGTGATTGATGGTTTGACAGGCGCCAGCCTGTCTGGCCCTACAGAGACACAATGGAGGAGCTGGACAATTGGGAGGGGGATATAAGGACATGCTTGAGAGTGGAGCGGGAGTTCGTGTTGCTGGGGACCAGAGAGAGAAGACGTCTCGCCACTGCCGCTAAATACGGGAATGGACCTCAACCCTCACGAGTCGCCGGGCGGGTGATGGTTGATCCCCCCACCCGGGACGAACGAGTGAGTGGGTCTGAGGGAACGTAGGCGAGGGCAGCGGTGGAGTAGGAGAAGCTGTGTGAGCGCCACTGTGTGCAAGCCTCTGTGTGAGGGCTACTGTGTGCGAAGCCTTGAGTGCGGAGCTGCTGAGAGCGAGAGCTGCTGTGTGCAGGTTGGTGAGGTGTAACGAAATAAGAGTGGGAACTGGTTAACAGAAGTGACCATACAGATAGCGATAGTAGCGCCTACAACTGGTGCGGAAATAGGTTAATAAAGTGTAAGCAGGTGACTTGTTACAACGTGTCAGTCTGAGTGATTTTACAAGACACTACACATACATCCATACACCGCCAACTAGCACGGTTGGCTACTTACGGTGTGAAAGAGGTTCAACATTCATCCATACAGAAACATACAAAGAAAAAGATACCCACGTATATTCTTAACAGACTTTTTTGGTAAGTGCTGTAAGCAAGCACATATGAAGGCTGGCATGGCACACGAGGAGGTGGGTGGCCAGCTCCACACCCGGCCGTCTCTGTCTCCCCAGTGGTGATGTTTACTACACACCACCCCAGGTACTCATTTGAGGCTGCGTCGACCTAGAGAAGGCCCAGGACAGGTTCAGATAATGCATCACTGGTGTTGGCTGTGAGCAAGAATCGAACTGGGGTAGCTGGATTTGTAGCAGAGCATGCTAACCACTACACCACAGCTCTGCAACATGTTTAGTGATGTTAAATGGATCACTACAGTGGAGTAGCGCTAAGTGCT